GCACTTGAGTAGATGATGTTTACCTGAGTTGAAGCCTGGGATATGCCTTACAGGAGTTGTGGCTGGAGGGTTGGTGGAGATTTTTTTCTATGAGAATTGAAGAAACAGGGAATTTCATGGGCTGATGGCATGCCTACCAGTTTTTCTGGCTGGTATAGCCTGCATATGCATATGGATGTCTGCCCAAGTTGGGGGCTGAAACACGACCTCATTTCTCTCTTTTGTAATGGGCATGTATCTTGTGCCATTGCATACTGAAAAGGTTTAATTTATTCCTTGATTTTACAAGATGTCACAGTCAAGAGATTGTCTTGAGTATCAGAAGAGGCTTTGGACATTTGAACTGTGTTTGGGGCTGTTACAATTATGAGGATCATTGAAGTTAGACTAAATGCATTTTCATTTTTTTCCTTGTATGTTTTTTCTTTTTATTCTTCTCTTATACATTCTGATAAAGCCCTCCTCCTTCCAATCCTCCTAGCTTCCCTCCACTTTCCACTCCCCCAGATCTGCTGCTTCTCTGTTTTCCTTCATAAAAGAACAGGGTTCCCAGGGATGGCAACTGAACACATGTGTAGATGGAGCAGCGGGCTGTGTTCCTGCCTGGATCCTGGCTAACTTACCTTTGAAATAATTACATGGAAACCGTATTCATTTAAACACTGCCTGGCCCATTACCTCCGGCCTCTTATTGGCTAACTCTCACATATTGATTCAACTCATTTCTAATAATCTGTATCTCACCACGAGCTCGTGGCTTACTGGGAAAGATTCAGCATATCTTACCTGGCAGCTTCATGGCGGGCAGCTCTCCTGACCCTGCTTTCTTCCTCCCAGAATTCAGTTCTGTCTTCCCCGCCTACCTATGTTCTGATATATCAGGCCAGGCAGTTTTCTTTATTAATTAACCAATGAAAGCAACAGATAGATAGAAGACTCTACTACATCACACATGTAACAAAGTGAAGTAAAACTAGGCAAAACCCCTCATATCCAGGCTAGATTACACAACCCAGTAGGAGGGAAAGTGTCCCAAGAGCAGGCAAAAGAGTCATAAACACACCCACCTCCTATTCTTAGGAGTACCACCAAAACCCCAAGCTAAATGACCACAGCATATATGCAGAGGACCTGAGGCAGACCCATGCATGTACTGTAACAGTTGTTTCAGTCTCTTTGAGCCCCAATGATCCCTGCTTAGTTTATTCTGTGGGCCATGTTCTTCTGATGTTGTTGACCCCTCTGTACTCCGTTCCCAATCTTCTGCAGGGTTCCCACAGCTCCTACTAGTGTTATATGGGGATCTCTGCTTCTGCTCCCATCAGCTGCGGGAGGAAGCCCCTGTGATGACAATTGGACCAGGCATCAATGTATGATTATAGCAGAATCTAATTAGGAATCATTTCATTGACTTTTTTTCATTTTGGTCAGTTGTATTTGGTTCTACCCTAGTTCTGTGAGCCATACAATTTCTGGATCCTGTTTATCCAGGAAGTGTTGGCCATGGGCTCCCTTTTTTGACTTGGTCCTCAAGTTAGGAAGGCATTGCTTGGCTGCCACACAAATTCTCAGCCATCATGGCCCCAGCATATCTTGCAGACAGCACAAGTGGGGCTCAAAGGTTTTGTGACTGGGTTGGTGCCCCATTCTCATGACTGGGAGCCTTATATGATTGCAGAGAATGACCAGTTTAGGCTTCGTGTTCACTATTACTTGGAGTTCTCACTGTATTCACCCTCATATCTCCTAGGAAATTTTAGCTGTACTATATTTACATATTTTCCCCCAAAGCTCCCTTATTCCAATTATCTATCCATGGATTCTCTGGAACACTGGTGTAGGAGGTCCTTCTGTCTATGTGTTGTTTTCATTGGTTAATAAAGGAACTTCTTTGAGCCTATAGCAGAACTGTAGGAGATCAGAGCTAGGTGGGGAAAACTAAATGGAATGCTGGGAGAAAGGGGGCAGAGTCAGAGAGAGATGTCATGGAGCCGCCAGAGTCAAACATGCCAAATCTTTGCCAGTAAGCCACTGCCACATGGTGATACACAGATTAATAGAAATGGGTTAAATTAATATAAGAATTAACCAATAAGAAGCTAGAGCTAATGGGCCAAGCAGTGATTTAAATAATATGGTTTCTGTTTGATTATTTTGGTGCTAAACAGCAGGGCAGCTGGGAACAACCAAGCGGCCCTGCTGCAACAAAACACCAAAAGTGAAATTTGTTGCTAGGCAGGATCTGGCCAATATCTTTTGAAGGAAAGTGAAAGACATCAGACTTTAGATGTCTAAAGGCATAGAAAGCTATACATAGGGCTTTACTGGCTCTTCTTGTAGGATCTGGAAGATGGGACTATTGAGAACAATGCAGACAGTAGAGGTCGATGTCCATAGAGTTTCAATTGGAAAGAGACTCCATGATAGACATTAAGCTTAAGGTCATTTGTGTAAAATTTTGAACCCAATTAAAATTATTAAGCCAGGATTTAAAAGTAATTGCCTGGATTTCTTGGATGGAATATTGAATCTGTTGGGTGGTTATAATTGATGAGTCATTTATGTCTACAGTGATAAAAAGCAAATAGTTGAACAGAAATAAATGAAAATATAGTCGCAGATGGCATTCAAGTGCTGAAACAGAGGCAGGAACATTTAAGGAGATCATCCCAATTCAAGAGAAGGCACTTGCTCTATAGTAGAAGCCTAGCAAAATATCTTATGGGCAAGGCTCCATCCTGTTAAGCCTTCAATTAATGACAGAATTAGACAAAGTAATTCCTAGTCCCTGGACACAGTTTCTTACAAAACCTGCGGCAACTGTTTTCCAAGCAAGTCAGGGTCAATCTGAATTAAGAAGCCAAACTTGTCAGGATTGCCCACGTCATGCTGATTTTGGAAAGAAGAAGGAATGACAGTTTCAGGCCATTGTTTCTTAGTCTGTGATTTCAGTTCAGCACTGCTGTAGGTATCTGTTTGGCAAAGTCAGAGATGCAGTGTGAGAGTTCATTGCATGAAGCTGTGAGGATGAAGCCTGGGTTACATGTTGAAGCCACAAGCTATTGAGATACCTGAGCTATGAGATATCTGCCATGGAGAGCTGCATATAGGGATTGGAATTTGAAATTAAATTTATGCCCTGACAATGCTGAAGCATGCATGGGCAACCTGTATATGGTGGTTTTGTTAAACTTGTCCATACTGGGTTTCATGGTCTAAGCTGATGAGGATAACTGACCAGGTCTCTTCCTCAAGAGGTCACCAGATCTCATTACAGATGGTTGTGAGCCACCTTATTGTTCCTGACAGTTGAACTCCGGACCTTTGGAAGAACAGGCAGTGCTCTTAACCACTGAGCTACCTCATCAGCAGTTAGAAGTAACTAAAAAGAGATAAATGAGATGTTTCAGGACAAATGAGCCACCTAAGCCCTTTGAAACTGAAACCCCATGTGTCTGAAATATGCTGGGTTGCAGTTCTTGTCCAGTCTTCCCTCACAATGCTCCCATACCCCTCCTTTAGAACTGGAATGAATATTCTGTGTCATTGTATGTTAGAAATATGTAACTTGTTTTCTGATTTTGCAAGATGTCACAGTCACAAGATTGCCTCTGTGTCAGAAGAAACTTTGGACGTTTGAAGAGTGTAGGGGCTGCTGCAGACTCATTGAAGTTAGACTAAGTACATTTTCTTCATTGGCTGCCCATGAGACTATAGTGATCTGTGTCAGACGGTAGTTGTTTGAATGAAAAGCTCCAAGAGTGGATGGTGTACTTGAAATCTTTTCTCTCCTTGGTGGTGTTCTTTACAGTTCTTTTAGAATCATTGGTAGGAAGAGCCTTTCTGATGAAATTCCTCATTGGTGATGAGTTTGCATTTTTATAGCCTCAACCCAGAGATTCATATGATTCTGGCTCCTACATGCTGGAGTTAAACCTGGGCCAACACACCTGAGATTTTTGTTGTTGTTATTGTTGTTGTTATTGTTTTTTTATTATTGACTGATGAACCTGAAATGCAGGATTATGTATATATCAAGCAAATGCTGTTGTGCTGGGCTTCACCCACATCTTGAATTATCAAATTTGGCAGAGGGTATCATTCTTTTCTCTAAGGAAGGCAATTTCTGAGTCATTGAATGACAGGTGTGTTACAATCTTCTTATCTACTTTGTTTATTTTGAATCTATTAGAACAGATATGAGTCTTCTACGTGTATGCATGTCTATACACCACATATGTGTGTTCCCCTAGTAGTTATAAGATCACCTCAGAACCCCACAACTTGGAGTAATGGGTAATTGGGAGCCCTTCAGTAAGTAGTGGCAGTTGAGCACACCTGTCTGCAAGGCCAGCAAGAGCTCTTAACTGCTGAGCCATCTTAACTGTCCTATTGTTTTTACTTATGATCAATATTTACATTGCTAATGTTTAGCTGTCCATTTTTAATTGTAAAATTATATATTCCTTTTAGTAAAAATCTTATTAATGGTACAGTTTAAACTGGGGCACTTCAGGTTTCTGGAAGATCAATACAGAACTTTGATTGATTTTTCTGAGGGAAATAGGGTGCTATTAATATGTAACTCTGGTTGTCCTGAAACTCACTAAATAGGCCAGAGTGGAATCTAACTCAATTAAATTCAACTGTTCTGCCTCTTGAGTGCTAATATTAAAAGCATAAGCCAAGACACCCAGCTTGTCCATCTTTTGTAATTAGTAATTGATCATTCAATTTCTTTGGTGTGTTGTCAGTACTTTTGATCTTCCTCTGTCTCTGTTAATTGGCACTTAGCTTTCAAAGGATGCAGATATGACAAGTGAATCTCTTATTCATTTTACTTCTAATGAGATTTGGTGATTACATTAAAATTCTGTGTCATGGAATAAGTATGGGAAGCACCAGAATTATGAGACTATATTGTCAAAGAAGTACACATTTTCAATGTTGTCGGTATCATGCTTTCTTTTGTATACATGTATGGGGCATTTAAGAATGCAGTGACCTACAATGATGTGCATGTCGACTTCAGTTGGGAAGAATAGGTTCTGTTGGATCTCTCCCAGAAGAGCCTGTACAAAGATGTGATGCTGGAGACCTACAGGAACCTAACTGCTATAGGTAAGACTGGGGATTTTCCTTTACATTTCAAAATAAGGTGACCACGTTTCTTGTTTATTGGTTCATGTGTATAATTTCAGTTGAGAAAGAGGAAGAATGAAGTGAATAATTAGGCAAGAGTCTAAGATTCTCTGAATCTAATAAGTTAAATTGTGAACAATTTCCAATAATATATCATACATTTTCTCGTACTATATTTTAGGGTACAGTTGGAAAGACCATAACATTGAAGAACATTGCCAAAATTCTAGAAGACATGGAAGGTAATTTTATGTGCATGCTGATACACATGTTCTCTGAAGAAATTTTAATGTGTCCTGGAAATTTTAAAGAAAAGCAGCAATACAAATAAGCACAAGTTAAAGTGCAATGATGATTATGAAATTCTAAAAAAAAAAAACAAACCAAAAACCTCAATTTCAGGTAGCTGATCTATGTTTCCAAGACATTCCTCTAAGAAAGAAAGCAAGGAATTAACTGCTTTAACTGATATCACCATTTGATTCATATCCTCAGGGAGGCTATGCTCTTGAACTGAAAATCCATTTAGTTTCATCCTTCTCAGATATTGCAAAGAGTTGAATAGGTGATAAGTATATGTCCAAAACCTTCTAACAAGCAAATAGTCTACAGTGAAGCTATTGTTACTCATATTCTTGTTGTGAGTCTGTTCAGTTAAGATTGGCCGTTTATGAGTCAGTTTGTTGTGAAGTAACCTTAATCCCTATACTGCACGTCTATGAGGAACAGAAAGCAAACTGTGCATGCAATGTTGAAACCGAGGTATTTCATATGTCACTCTGTATACAAGCCATGAGAGCATCCGGAACAGTCAGGGCATATGAAGTAGTCCTCCATCTGAGCAGAGTTGTTAAATGTGAAATAAATTTACAATTACTTGGTTTCCCAATGTCATTGGGACTATATCAGTAAACTCACACTGTGGAAATGCTCTATGAGTATTGGAATGTATAAATACTTCTGTATGTCCTGGTTCACCCCGCAAATGCAGTATCACTCGCACCATATGAAAACTTAGGAATGCAATAAGTATGGTAAAGCTCTGAATTCTTTCATTTCTGTTTAAATTGTGAAAAATCTTATATAGAAGGAAGATGCTATAAATGTGAGCCATGTAATAAAGGCTTTTACCATCACAGTATCTTCAGAGACAGAAAACAGCCCTTAATGGAGGGAGGGAGTGCCGTGAGCATAAACCCTGTAGAGTGTAAAAGCCTTGCTCTTTACAGTTAGACTAAGTTGTAAATTAACCGATGCAAATGTAAGGACTCATCAGTGATGAATGTGGTAAAGCTTTAACATGTGCTAATTATCTTTGTAGGTATGAAAGAAGTCATTCTGGAGAGAAACCCTCTGAATATACTCAATGTGTTAAAGCCTCTGTATATCACAGTCATCTTCAAAGACATGAAAGAATTCATACTGGAGAGAAACTCCATGGAGGTATTCAGTGTGATAAAATCTCTGGACGTCACAGTATGCTCCAGATACATAAACAAACACATAGTAGCGAGAAACCCTATGAATGTAATCAGTGTGGAAAAGCCTTTTCAAGACTTGGTCATCTTCAAACACATAAAAGAACACACACCGGAGAGAAACCCTATGAATGTAACCAGTGTGGTAAAACATTTGCATATCACTGTTATATTCAAATACATAAAAGAACACATACTGGAGAGAAACCATATGAATACAATCAATATGGTAAAGATTTTGCCTATCACAGTAATCTTCAAATACATAAAAGAACACATACTGGAGAAAAACCTTATGAATGTAATCAGTGTTGTAAAGCCTTTGCACACAACAGTGCTCTCCAAATACATAAAAGAACACATAGTAGGGAGAAACCTTATCAATGTAATCAGTGTGGTAAAGCCTTTGCACAAAAGAGTAGTCTCCAAAATCACAAAAGAACACATACTGGAGAGAAACCCTACAAATGTCATCAGTGTGATAAGGCCTTTGCACATAATAGTAATCTCCAAAAACATAAAAGAACACATACTGGAGAGAAACCCTATGAATGTGATCACTGTGGTAGTGCTTTTGCATATCATAGTTACCTTCAAATACACAAAAGAACGCATACTGGAAAGAAACCTTACAAATGTCATCAATGTGATAAAGCCTTTGCACACAACAGTACTCTCCAAATACATAAAAGAACACATAGTAGAGAGAAACCTTACAAATGTAATTTATGTGGTAAAGACTTTGCAGATCACAGCAGTCTCCAAAAACATAAAAGGAAACATACTGAAGAGAAACCCTATAAATGTAATCAATGCAATAAAGCCTTTGCATATAGCAATAGTTTGCAAAAACATAAAGGAACACATACTGGAGAAAAACGCTATGAATGCAATCAAAGTGGTAAAGTCTTTGGATATCAGCATAGTCTTCTAATACATAAAAGAACACATACTGGGGAGAAACCCTATGAATGTAAACTGTGTGATAAAAACTTTGCATGTCACAGACATCTTCAAATACATAGAAGAACACATACTGGAGAGAAACCCTACGAATGTAACCTATGTGGTAAAGCCTTTGCATATCATAGTGATTTTCTAATACATAAAAGAATACACACTGGAGAGAAGCCTTATGCATGTGTTCAATGTGGCAAAGCCTTTGCACGCCACAGTCATCTTCAAATTCATAAAAGAGCACATACTGGAGAGAAACTCTGAGTGTAATCAATGTGGTAAAGCCTTTTCACAACACAGTAATCTTCAAAAACATAAAAGAACACACACTGGAGAGAAGCCTTACCAATATAATCAGTGTGATAAAGCCTTTGCATGTGTCAGCAGTCTTCGAATCCATGAGAAAAAAATCATACTGCGGAGAAACCCTTTTAATGTAGTCAGTGTGGTGAAGTTACGCATTTCATGGGAGTCTTTATACAAGAGTAAAACTTTTAATGTGTAATTGATCTAATGTAGCTCTTGCATATGACAATGCTCTTTGAGGACCTGAAAAAAAAACTAATGCAGAATGGAATATATCTACAAAGAATTTGGTAAGATATTTAGCCAACACACTTACATTTAGATATAGAAGACTATTTTTTTCTGGAGAAAAATCTGGCAATTGTCAACAATCTGTTCAAGCTTCATGAGATTCCCTGTTCATTTTGTTTGTGTATTCAAACTCATATGGACACAAAAGCCCTAGGATTTTAAATGAAAAGGTTACCCTTTCAATTTCATACTTCAGCTTTATGAAATGACTCATCCAGGTATTAAACCTTAGGGGTGTATCCTAGTGCCTTTTCTGTTGCTGTAGTAAAAACAAGTCTAAGGCAGCTTACAAAAGGGCCCTTGATCCCAGAGGGATACAGGGGCACCATGAAAGTGGCATGGCAGCTAGTGTCAGACATGGCAGCCAGAGCAGGAAGCTAAGAATTCACTTCCCCAGCCTGCAGTTTGAAATGGAAATGGTGTGAGGACATAAACTCTCAGGCCCACCCCAGTGGCAAACTTTTTACAGCAGGGCACCATTTCCTAAATCTTCCCCCATGATACCATCTATGGAGTACGGTTGGTTTCTCTGACTTCAAGCCTACTAGCTTGCTTTCTGTTACCTGAACCAATCCATGATGAAGAAAATTGCTGTTTTACAGGAATGAATGGGACAAACATTCACAAGTGAAAATTTGTTAAATGACTTGTTTTAGTTTTGATTTTGTGGCATCAATGTGTCTTTGTGGGTATGTACATGTTTATACTGTTTCCCAAGAAGGTTAGACCTTTTAATTTTCTAGTAGCAAAAGTTTTAGGAAGTTATCAAAAACCTGACCTTGGTCCCTGGGAATGGACTTGTCTTTACTGATTGAACATGTCTCTTACACTGTAAATATTTTACAGTCTTTATATATCATCTTGATATTAGGAAGCAGGGAAAAACACATTCGAGAGAAAAATCCTACTTATGTAAACAATTTGATAGAGACTTTAAACTTCACAGTTGTTTACATTTTCTTTTTTTTATGAGAAAGTAATTTTATTAAATTATAAAAGTTTCCATTTCCGCCCCTCCTCCTAACACCCTCCCACTCCCCCCACTCCCTCTCCTCTTCCATCTCCATCCCTAAGAGCAGTCAGGGTTTCCTGCCCTGTGGGAAGTTCAAGTTCCTCCCCCCTCCCTCCAGGTCCAGGAAGGTGAGTGTCCAGACAGACTGGATCCCCAAAATCCAGCATATGCAGAGGGAACAAGTCCCAGTGTCATTGTCAATGGCTTTTCAGAAAGACTCCTGACCAGCCACATTCAGAGAATCTGGCCACATTCAGAAAATATGGTTGATCCTCGTTCAGTCCCAGTCCAACTGGCCTTGGTAAACTCTCATTAGATCCGTCCCCTTGTATCAGTGGGTGATCGCATCCCTCGCAGTCCTGATTTACTTTTTCATTTTCTTCCTCCTTCTGGTCCTCATTTGGACCTTGGGGGACTCAGTCCGGTGCTCCAATGTGGGTCTCCCTCTGTATTGCCATCCATCGACGGATGAAGGTTCCCTCTGGTCTTGCCTTCTTTGCTCACGTTCTCTTTCCTTCTGCTTCTCGTTTGGACCTAGGGAGTTAAGTCCAGTGTTCCAATGTGGGTCTCTGTCTCTATCTCAATCCATCGCCAGATGAAGGTCCTGGGACTCTTGTCTAATTCCAATCTCCAGGAGGATAGTTACATGATTTTCAACAGGTTCACCTTCTTATTTAGCTTCTCTAGGATCATGAATAATAGGCTCAAAGACCTTTAATTATGGTTAGAATCCACTTATGAGTGAATACATACCATATTCCTCTTTTTGGGTCTGGCTTACCTCACTCAGTAAAGCGTTTTCTATTTCCATCCATTTGCATGCAATATTCAAGATGTCATTGTTTTTTACCGCTGAGTAAAACTCTAATGTGTATATGTTCCACACCTTTTTTAACCATTCTTCTATTGAGGGACACCTAGGTTGTTTCCAGGTTCTGGCTATTACAAATAGTGCTGCTATGAACATAGTTGAACAAATGCTTTTGTAGTGTGATAGGGCATCTCTTGGGTATATTCCCAAGAGTTGAATTGCTGGATCCTAAGGGAGGTTGACTCCCAGTTTCCTGAGAAACCGCCACACTGATTTCCACAGTGGCTGCACAAGTTTGCATTCCCACCAACAATGGATGAGTGTTCCCCTCATTCCACATCCTCTCCAGCATAGGCTATCATTGGTGTTTTTGAGTTTGGCTATTCTGACAGGTGTAAGATGATATCTCAAAGTTGTTTTGATTTGCATTTCCCTGATCGCTAAGGAGGTTAAGCATGACCTTAAGTGCCTTTTGGCCATTCGAAGTTCATCTGTTGTGAATTCTCTGTTCAGTTCAGTACCCCATTTTTTAATTGGATTAATTAGAGTTTTAGTGTCTAGTTTCTTGAGTTCTTTGTATATTTTGGAGATCAGACCTTTGTCTGATGAGGGGTTGGTGAAGATCTTCTCCCAGTCAGAAGGCAGCCTTTTTGTCTTACTGACAGTGTCCTTTGCTTTACAGAAGCTTCTCAGTTTCAGGAGGTCCCATTTATTCATTGTTTCTCTTATTGTCTGTGCTACTGGGATCCTACTTAGGAAGTGGCCTCCTGTGCCTATATCTTGTAGACTACTTCCCACTTTCTCTTCTATCAGGTTCAAAGTGGACAGATTAATGTTGATGTCTTTAATCCATTTGGACTTGAGTTCTGTGCATGGTGATAGATATGGATCTACTTTCATTCTTCTACAGGTTGACATCCAATTATTCCAGCACCATTTGTTAAAGATGCTTTCCTTCTTCCATTGTATACCTTTAGCTCCCTTGTCGAAAATTAGGTGTTTATAGGTTTGAGGGTTAGTATCCAGGTCTTCTATTCGATTCCATAGGTCAACTTCTCTGTTCTTATGCCAATACCAAGCTGTTTTCAATACTGTAGCTCTGTAATAGAGTTTGAAGTCAGGGATGGTAATGCCTTCAGAAGTTCCTTTATTGTATAAGATTGTTTTGGCTATCCTGGGTTTTTTGTTTTGCCATATAAAGTTGATTATTGTTCTCTCAAGGTCTGTGAAGAAGTTTGATGGGATTTTGATGGGGATTGCATTGAATCTATAGATTGCTTTTGGTAGAATTGCCATTTTTACTATGTTGATTCTCCCAATCCAAGAGCCAGGGGAGGTCTTTCCATTTTCTGGTATCCTCCTCAATTTCTTTCTTCAAAGGCTTAAAGTTCTTGTCAAATAGGTCTTTCACTTCCTTGGTTAGAGTAACCCCAAGATATTTTATGCTATTTGTGGCTATCGTGAAAGATGATGTTTCTCTGATTTCCCTCTCCGCTTCTTTATCCTTTGTGTATAGGAGGGCCACTGATTTTTTGGAGTTGATCTTGTATCCTGCCATGTTACTAAAGGTGTTTATCAGCTGTAGGAGTTCTTTGGTAGAGTTTTTGGGGTCACTTATGTACACTATCATATCGTCAGCAAATAACGAAAGTTTAACTTCATCCTTTCCAATTTGAATCCCCTTGATCTCCTTATGTTGTCTTATTGCTATTGCTAGATCTTGAAGCACTATATTGAAGAGGTATGGAGAGAGTGGACAGCCTTGTCGTATTCCTGATTTTAGTGGAAAGGCTTTGAGTTTCTCTCCATTCAATTTGATGTTAGCTGTCGGCTTGCTGTATATTGCTTTTATTATTTTTAGGTATGATCCTTTTATCCCCAGTCTCTCCAACACCTTCATCATAAAAGGGTGTTGAATTTTGTCAAATGCTTTTTCAGCATCCAATGAAATGATCATATGGTTTTTTTCTTTCAGTTTATTTATATGATGGATTACATTGATAGATTTGCGTATGTTGAACCATCCCTACATCTCTGGGATGAAGCCTACTTGATCATAATGGATAATTTTTCTAATGTGTTCTTGGATTCAGTTTGCCAGTATTTTATTGAGAATTTTCGCGTCGATGTTCATGAGTGAGATTGGCCTGTAATTCTCTTTCTTGGTTGTGTCTTTGTGTGGTTTTGGTATTAGGGTGACTGTAGCTTCATAAAAGGAGTTTGGCAGTGACTCTTCTGTTTCTATATTGTGGAATACATTAAGGAGTATAGGTATTAGCTCTTCCTGGAAGTTCTGGTAGAATTCTGCATTGAAACCATCTGGTCCTGGGATTTTTTTAGTAGGGAGATTTTTGATAATAGCTTCTAATTCTTCACGACTGACAGGTCTATTTAGATTGTTCACTTTTTCTTGGTTCAACTTTGGTATATGGTACTTATCTAAAAAAATGTCCATTTCTTTTACATTTCCAACTTTGTGGCATATAAACTTTCATAGTAAGATCTAATGATTCTCTGAATTTCCTCTGTGTCTGTGGTTATGTCCCCCTTTTCATTTCTGATCCTATTAATTTGCAAGTTCTCTCTCTGCCGTTTGATTAGTTTGGATAGGGGTTTGTCAATCTTGTTGATTTTCTCCAAGAACCAGCTTTTTGTTTCATTGATTCTTTGGATTGTTTTCTGTGTTTCTATTTTGTTGATTTCAGCCCTCAGTTTGATTATTTCCAGTCTTCTACTCCTCCTGAGTATATCAGCTTCTTTTTTTTTCTAGAGCTTTCAAGTGTGCTGTTAAGTCTCCAATGTGTGCTTTCTCCGTTTTCTTTAATTGGGCACTTAGTGTTATGA